AAAGAAATTTCTCACCCAGAATATCAAAAGTCATTGATCACTGAATTTCCTCATAAATTGACTAATATGTGAGTGTATTATATTAATATGAACAGTGAGCTACAGTAGAGTGGTAATACCTAGATCAAACTTTTTGGTGACAGAAGCCCAGGCCTCCTTCATTGAGGTCAATGTGAGTTGTTGCCAGTACCTTCAACTAGACGATGAATGGTCCCCATACTTGTTGCTTTTATGTTATAGTTTTGTTACTCTATACTCCCTCTATTATTTCTCCCCAAAAAAACCAAAGTTGCTGCAAATAAACACCATACTAACATTTGATGACTTTGCTAGCGTGGTATTGTTTGACAAAAATCATCTTCACATTAAGCCACTAGAACAAACCTAAAGACCAAACAAATCTGTTTTAAAGTAGGCGAATGTTACACCAAAACTTTAGTACTAAATCTAGTCCTGAAACAGACTGACTAAAAATAATCTGATGTGGACAAAAACAGCGTTAAGCAGCTAGATAGTACGTTCTGTTTTTCCTGGAAATATGGCAGTACTACAGCAGTGCCCTCTTGTGTTGCTGTACAGTAATAAGGTCTTCATTTTACTAGAAAATAGGGTTTACTGCTTTATAATTCAGAAATATAATTGTGTTGTGGGGCAAAAGAGAGATAGGAAGGTTTAGCTCTGGAGTAATGTTTTTTTTAAACCAGTACTATTTACAATAGTTTTGGAGTTTTTAAGTTACAAGAGTACAAAACCTGCCCAAGAATAAATAGTGATTATTTTGAAAGCATTTTGCCCTAAACAGCTCAAAAAAATTGCTGATTTTAAAAATGAAATTTTGCAAGCTGCAAAATTAGTCTACAACATGACTTATGGCTTGGGGAATTATTGTAAAAATGGTCAGGATATTAAACATTTAAAGTGTAAATTGTGTTCAAGAACTGTAAAAGTATTTTCCTTTGTGTTTTTAGTCTGCATACTTTCTGACCAATTGTTAACTAGCTCTTAAGTTATGCAGTATACATTTTTAAAATACAAAAACTAATTATGCTGACCAAACAAAGAATAAATCCTAGTTTATTTTTGTTACAATAAAAAGCAATAAAATAATGCATTTTAAAAAAAAATAAATTCTGAAGAAGCGGTTAGGGGTAAAAAAAAAAAAAAAAAAAATCAGAGAAATACTCAAAGATCCTGCAGCCACCAAAAACTAAGTCATGCAGAATCAATGAGTTCCGGGTACAACTCTGTGTGGAGGATTAAACAAATCAACAGGGTGCTGAAACAGTCACAAAAATAAATCTCCTACAGAACTACGCAATGCTGCATCTAAGATGTAACCTTTCCGTTATATTAATACTAAAAATGTCAAGATCAAAAACACACATTTAACAAAGAAACAAAGGTGCTGCCTTCAGGAACAAATTAAAAATAAGAACTATGGAAAGTAAAGATAAATATAGTTTAAGGAATATACTGAATGTAAACAATCCATGATATAATACTACAGTGTAAGTACCAACTCTTAATTGCATTATGCATGCTGTAGCATTATATATGCCTAAAGGGAGCACTAGCTTACCACATGGGAAGACAGTTTAGAATACTGAAGCACAGAATAGTATTGAACTGCCAATAAGCATAATCTTTTCCTGGAAAAAGTTATTACAGGGTTTGTTTGGGAAGAGGGTTGGGAGTGTTTCTTGGAGGAGGAGAAGGAAGGTTATACTTAAGACTTTGCTAACTTGGCGGTTTGATGATGATAATGCCATATTACTACGCACAAGTTGCAGAAGGGGGACAGCACACACATGCACATATAAAAGGATAGGAACTATACACACTGTGGATCTCTTGATCAAATACTGGGCTAGTGTTGAAGGAGCAGAGGCACAAAATTAATTTTTTTCTGACTTAAAAATAGGCTCTTCAGCTGGAAGCTGCATACTACAGGCTTCTGAAACCTAGAAATTTTAGTTTTATTATTTAATTAAGTCATATTTATGAGTGTGGTTAGGTAAGTTTCAGTTGGCCACTTGCTGGTTGCAATGAAGGGACTGCTATTTTGACTTCCTAGCTACAATACGCTGAAGCACAGAGACATTTAATTAAAGAAAAATTATTTATAATTAATTATTCAAGGTAGTGGGAAGAACAAGAAAATAAGCTATAATTTAGAGGTAGCGGAGGGAGTAGGGCAAACAGTGGTAGCTCCCTGAGGTACAACACAAGGCCTAAATTTTCTGTTCTTCACCACTTTGGCTAGAGGTGTAGAAGGACTGAAACCCCTACAAATTGCACAGGCATTAGAGTAGGTACTTTTCATTATCCAAAAGCAACTTTTCGGTCAGTTGAAAGAGCAGCAAAGATAGAGAGCCGAGATCTCACTGCTGGGGCAGCGGGAACAAAATCAACAGGTTCCTTCCAGGTTCTGTGTGTTCTGGGGCACCCTACAAACAGAATCATTTGCATCCTACAACCAGAAGGTTCCTGCGAACTATTACATTAAGAGAAGTTAGCATGGGAGGAAAATTGATAAGCTTCTTCTGGTGGTTAAGAGAGCTTCTGCTCTCATTTCCTCTATCACTGATTAGCCAAAACTGCCAACCTGATTTTATGCAGTATAGTTGTAGCCATGCGCAGTCCCAGGATATTAGAGCGACAAGGTAGGTGAGGTAATATCTTTTACTGAACCAACTTCTGTTGGTGAGCAAGACAAGCTTTCATGCCACACAGACCTGAAGAAGAGCTTTATGTGGCATGAAAGCTTGTCTCTCTCACCAACAGAAGTTGGTGTAATAAAAGATATTACCTCACCCAACCTAATTCTAATCACTTCAAAATGGTCATGCTGCCCTTTGATTTTTATGTCTCACTCAGATGTCTAGGCCCCCTCAATTTCTAAGTAGTCAATAATTATAGCCATACTAGATTACCAATTGTTTATCTAGCCCATTGTCAGAGACAGGATACTGGACAACAACAAATGGTTCAAGGGAAAAAACAAGAAACCCCTAATGGACATTCATGGAATCATTTGCTATAGGGAAGTTTTTTTCATAATCCCTAGCAGCTACTGGTTGGCTTATGCCTTGAATAAGGAAATTAAACCCTAGTTTCATCTTTACCTTTCATTTTTTTATATGTATGTGTAAATGTATATATGAGAGTATAAATGCTCTCATACTCAATAAAAATGTCTAATCCTACCAAGTTATTAGCTTCCATATCTTGTAGCAATTAATTCAATTGGTTGGTTGATTAGGGAAAGGGGGAGGTTTTAAAAAATCCTTTCATCAGTTTTAAGTCTGTTGCTTTTTTATTTCATTGGATGATCTCCTATTCTTATATTATGGGAGAGGGAAAATAGGAGCACCCTATTTTCTCTCTGGCATTATTTTTACACTAATGATATACCACCTTCCTTTACAGATGACAATGGAAAATCCGGAGGATCAGCTTTTTGAAGCTCAAAAGCAGCACTGGGTCCAATAAAAGATATTACCTACCCTATCTTGTGTTTCAATAGAAAACACTTCAGAAATCTAAACTTCTATACAACTTGAACTGCAGGTGGCTTGTATTTAAATTAAACTATTTAATTTCACTACTAAATCTCTAATTTGAGAATTTACATCCATCACAGTCCAACTCAGGAGACAAAATACTGAGAACTTCAAAGACAATAATGAGCTTTGAGTGACATTAAAATAAAATGTGGATTTCACTTTAAACTGCCTGCAGTATCCTCAACCTGACAGGCCTCCCTTGTACATAAAGGTTATCTGTTGTCTCAGAACATGCTGCATTCATCCATTAGAATATCAAACATACACACACAAAAAATCAGATGAACCCTCTGTAGCACAGGAGATACAATATCACCCCTGAAATTTG